ATAGATAGACATTTGGTAGAGGCTGTCGCGATTGTGCCCTTGCTCCACCATGCGAAGGGCGAAGGTCGCGTCTTTGTCAAACCGATCCACAACATTGTCGTATCCAAGCTTGCGGGCCCTGCTGTCGTAGTTCTTCGAAGCCTCAATCTGCTTGGCTTCAAAGGATGTTGCTCCTCTCTTTGCAACATCAGCATAGCCCTTGAAATCATTGATGAGGAGCTGGTCAACCGTCTTGCCGACGCGGTGGCTCACCTCCTCAAGCATCTGCGTTCTCCGCTTTGCGGCTCTGAAGAGCTGAACGTCGTTGTTCTCCTTGGTGCTCCGTCCACAACGCTGGCACTTGATCTGCCCCTGCATCATGTCCTCGCCGCAGAGGCTGCAGTCCGTGTAGTGGACGGGCATCGCAAAGGTCTTGAACCTGACAACTGAGGTGTCGGCCGCGGGTTGCCCCGGGCAAGAGGCGGCCGTATCCTCATTCGTCTGCTCTTCTTCAGGATTTGTGGCCCTGTTTCCCTCCGCATCGGTCTGAAAGGCCTCGTCTGCAGTCACAGTGACGGCTCGCCTTGCGGCGAGCATGTCGACAGTCGTTTGATTCTCCAATGCCTCAAGACGAAGGGCGTTCCTCCAAAGCACTTCTCCTGTCTTCGCATCTGTGTAGTACAGAATGGAGTCATTGGGAACGATGTCGTTGGTCAGCATGACATCAGACTCCGAAAGGAAAAACACCACTCCGAGCTCAATCGCATACTTGAAGTCGATCACAAGCTCAATGGGCATTGTTGCTCGGACTCCAGCATTATACGATGAGCTCTCTACCGGGTGGATGGAGAAGTGGCTCTGCGAGCGGCCACTCTCCGTGGCACCAACGCCACCCGGGATCAAACCTGTCCTGACGATGTTCTCGGCTGCGTTCTTGCTCGTGCGATGGTATAGTTTGCCAGGGCCATCATCAACCGGCGAAAGCTGCAGTCCGACCTTGCGAGCGTCCTCCGGGAGAAACTTCCCATAGATGGCCTTCGCAAGTGCGTACTGGTTTCGGCTGATGTCGCCATCAGCATCAACGCTGCTGGCGTGTCCCTGACTGGCACGAACCTTGATGACAACCCACTCCTGGTTGTTCTCGGCAGCCGAAGGGTGCTTGATCGCGAGGACGGTGTATCTGCATTTCGGATCGAGTGCAAAAATCTTCAACAGCGTTTTGTACCCGATATTGCTGCGGGTCTTTCTGTTGAATTTGTCACATAGCTGGTGGACGTCGACAAAATAGTTCTCATCGAAGTCGAGTGGCCTCTGTTCTTGAAACCTGCCACGAAGCATTCCAGATATGGTTGTGCACCGATCGGTCGAGGACGTCTCTCCCTTCATGAAGTTGGGCACCTTCAGGATCGTGCCCGGGAGAATCCTCGCCTCATACTCCTGGCCGCGGAAGATGACGGTTCCGCCGGGCTTGCCTGGCACTGCGCTTCCGGCAGGGGTTGCCCCCCGCACATCCGATGCCACCGCAGCAGTCGATGCTTTCGCCTGTATCTTTGGCGATGCTGTCGATGCTTTCGCCTGTACCTTTGGCGATGCTTTCGCGGTGAACTTGGGTGTAGCCGGAGCGGCCTTGACGCCAAGCGCAGCCTCAGCGGCACTCCCTTGCGGGAGTGCATCATCGTCATCATAGTCGATCTCCTCCTTGACTTCGACTTCCTCGATCTTTTCGAGGATGCGGCCCTTCGCGAGCTTGATCGGTCGTTGAAGGCTTTCCCATGACTCAAGAGTGAGCTTCCTGTTCGCCTCATACTCAGCCAAAGTGTACGGGTTGAGTCCAGCTTCGGCGTCATGGGAATATTCAAGGTACAACCTCACGTTGTTGAAATCTTCTTTGTGGGACTCAACGACAGCGACACACTTCATGACGTTGAACAACGACCACAGCCACTCCACCGTCGTCTTCCGGTTCTCGATGGAGTCCACCATGTGGTAGTTGTCAAGCCGGTCCTGCCGAGACACCAAGAACGTCGACTCCTTCTTGCGAAGGAGCTTGTGCTTGTTGAGCGACTCATCCAACAACTTTTCCATGAACTGGTTGTAGATGGGCGGGAGCATATAGTACGAACCCTCGGTGTTGGCCAAGATCGTGATGTTTGCAATGCCCCACCAACTCCTGCACTCCTCAAGCACATCGATCGCCTTGGCGCACTTGTTGAACAGCTCGGGCCAGTGACCGTCTCCGCATCGGTATGGCCATTCGGGCTCATCGCAGATCCCACCACTGCCAACGAGCTCGTTCCCGGACCAGTACACCGTCACGTAGAAGTCGTGGTCCTTAAACTCAGGACGTTTCTTGAGGTCCTTCATGGCGCTCTTCACTGTCCACGTGAGAAATGTGAGGTCCTTTCCCCAACACATTCTCACCTCACAGTGGCTACAACTCGTGCTGCGGTTGTAGTTCATGTCCTGCGCCAAGTCCGCCCTCTTGCGGTTCTTCTTGCCACCGCTGATGAGGGCGAGGCTGGAGTCACTCACGACGAGGTATACGCTATTCCGGCCACAGGTTGCCCCGGGCGTGATGCGGCCAAGGCCTTTGTCGTTGACGGCGCAAAGCGTATCCATGAGCTCCGGCGCGTAGTCAGCCGCCCACATAGCGCATGAGCTTTGGAGAGTGGCCTGTGCTCCGAGGATCTGCTCCATTGTCTTGCGATCCTCAGGCCTCGTCTCCTGGAACAAGGTGTTCGACGTGAAGCTCGTCATCACCCCTCGCCAGTACTCCAAGTTGCCCTCCGAATACTCCCCGAGATTGTAAGCAGCCATTGCGGCTACCGGTGAGGGAAGCTTTAGAGCAACAAGTGCACGTTTTGTGGGTCTCTGAGCCGAGCTATCGGTAACAACCTGTTTCATGCTGTCAGCAAACTCAGAAAAACATCCATGGATCAGGTCAGTCATTTCATACGTGTAAGATTCAGCACGTTTGAGGGCCGCCCCCCTGGACTGTCCATGCTGATGATCCTTTGTGCACTTATACGGTTGCAGTTTGGCCAACGATTGACAGGAAGAAGCAATAGTCCATGACTTTTGCAACAAATTTCCATCCTTGTCCAGGACACCAAACATGCAACCATCGCAATTGTACTTGACCATCTCATATTTCATGAGGAAATCATGCACGAAATAGTTCTTCCAATAACTGCAAAGCTTAGGAAGTTCCATGTTGATCACAAGCACAATGTCAAGCTGTCGAAGCATAGTGATAAGTTTGTCCAAACGCTTCAGCAGTTTGCGAAACAACGCCTTGTGCTCCTGGATCTTGGCTTGACCTTCTTGAGTCTGACTATTGATATTGTTCCAGGGGCACCCACCCGTACACGGAAGTGAAGCATGAAGCATCACGCAGGGCGGTGTTTTGGACTTGACATTCTTCCTGAAAAGTTGCACCTCGTCAAATACCCATTTCAATGTATCGGCAACCAACGCATTCTGACGCTCGGTTACTCTAAGCACCTTGCAACCAAATGCTGGTAATCTTGATTTGTCGCCGAGCTTGGAATCATCAGAACAGCAAAATTCGCACAAGAACCGATCATAGGTTTCATGCGTGGAAACGGCGGAAGCTTGCGCCTCGCTAGTGGGGGCTGGTTTGATTATAATGTTTCCATCCAACTGCACCCACCGTACTCCAATAAGATTGCACGCGTGATCCCATTTTGCTTTGCTCGTAAACGGCTTGGTCAAGATGTCCGCAACCTGATACACAGTGTTGACATTGACGAGATTGAAGAAACCTTTCGTGAATTGTTCTCGAAGCCACGCCAAAGAAGTTCTTTGAGTTCTGTCAGCATGACGAAGCTGTGCGGA